TCTAGCAAGAGACAGACTCAAAATATACTAAGGTGAGGCCTGACAGTGGAAGACAGGCAACACTGACTTCCAGCTTCCACGTGTGCATGTACACACATGCCACACAAGAGAGAGAGAGAGAGAGAGAGAGAGAGAGAGAGAGAGAGAGAGAGAGATGTCAACAGATGTGCGACCAAGGAGACTGTAACCTCTTCCTTATAGATGCCCCACGGACTCCCAATCCTAAGGAAATATGGTGGGTATGTCCCCGAATCATTGTCACATCTTGTCATCAATTTGAATGAGCAGACTAACTACTCCAGAATCATTGACCGATTCACAGCCTCTAGCAAGAGAATGTAACCCACAGGCTGTCATGAGAGCCAAAATTTCCACAGAACACAACGCAAATAAGGAAGGGGCCTCTCTTCTTCTGAACTAGGACATCTCATTTTTGTAAGTTGCACCTCAAAGTGAGGAAGGGGAAGTGGAGTTGCCTCACGTAGCAGTGAGTGGTCCTGTCACGGGAGGGTCATCCCTTCTCTAGTTAGCAAACAACTTCAAAACCCTCATCTCTGTCTTTGTCAGCAATCAACCAGGGAAGTTGCAGAGCCTCCTCTGACAGAGAATGCTTCACTAAGGGAAAGCTATTCAGTGCTTGTCAGGGCCCTCCCGGTGAATTCTGCTGCCCCATAGAGATTTCCATTCAGCAGATCTGGACACTGGCATGGCCTATCCAGGACAAAGACCCATTTGTCCTCTGAAAAGATTTTCAAGTGTTTTGTTTTTTTTTTTCCAATTCCCAGTTTCAAATGTTATATTTTTGTATTTTACTTGGACATGTTCAACTTTTAAAATTAAATTAGTTGCTGTTTTAGCCCTCATGTCATTATAGTCTATCACAGTTCGTCTAATGGTTTCTGATGTATGTTCCAGAGAGAGCAAAAGGTTGTGCTACATTGTGCTATGTTGTAGTGTGTGTGTGTGTGTGTGTGTGTGTGTGTGTGTGTGTGTGTGTGTATTAAAATTACGCAGTAATTTTAATAATATTAGTAATAATATCTTATATACTCTTAGGAGCACATTCATAATATTTTTTTTTTGGTTTTTCAAGACAGGGTTTCTCTGTGTAGCTTTGGAGCCTATCCTGGAACTCGTCATAATATTTTTTAAAACATACTAATTAGCGTATTTTTTTTTTTACAGAAGACCAGGGTTAGCAATGGCAGATCAATTTTATGGGTGGAAATTTGAGACACAGAAACATGATGTAACTTTTCACTATACCTTCGAAAACTAGCCTGTGCTCACCTGTCACTAAACCCTCAAGTGGACTCCCACAGGCAATTCTAAAGTTGCATCCTCTCCCACTTCTGCCATGTAACCCATCCTCCACACTGCACCCAGGCCAGTCTCACAAAATGGAAGTCTATGAATTCACATTTCTGCTTAGAATATATCCAGCTTCTTGCTATTTCTATTTAGAATGAGATCTATGTTGTTTGATTTGGCATATGAGACTCTGGGTGACCTGGTCCCTCACCCCTCTTCCTCCTTTGTCCTTGCATCCAGCCCTGCTCTGACTTGCCTACTTCAGCCACTCTGGCCTTCCAACTGGGTCTTCTACACATTCCACACACCTATACATTAGGTCCCTCTGCCAAAAGTATTTATGTTTCAAGGGTCTCATCTCAAGGACATTTTCCCCCCAGAGAAATCTCTCCTCAAAACTCCAAAGGGAGAAGAGATGGTTCAGTGGTTAAGAGCCCAGCACCCACACAGCAGCTCACAATCACCACTAAATATGGTTCCAGGGAACCTGGTGCCATCTTCTTGCCTCCAAGAGTACCAATAACATACATAAATGAAGGTAAATATTTACACACAAAAATGAATCTAAAAAAAGGAGATTCATCCAAGAATAGCCCCTGCTATTTGCCCAACACATATCTACACATTTAAGCCCATATCGATGATGCTATACCACACCTCTTGGTTTTTCTTCAAAACTTTTATTACTGTCTGAACTCACTCTGGTCATTCCTTGATTTTTGCTCATCTCTTGACTCTAGAATTCTTTGACACTAGAAAGTGTATCTGACTCACCATTCACACCTTGGTACACAGTAGCAGGCATCCACCCATCCATCCATCCATCCATCCATCCATCCATCCATCCATCCATCCACCCATCTGTACTACCTGCCTGTTGTCTGTTCCAGAGTTCAGGACTGAATCAGACTTTGCACACACTAGGTAAGTTCTCTACCACTGAGATATAACATGCGTCCCACCCCCCAACACACACACACACACACACACACACACACACACACACACACACACACACACACCTGTGGTTATTTTTATTGAGACATGATCTTTTTGTGTAGTCCAATCACTACATAGCCCAAGCTGGCCTTGAACATGTGAGATTGCCCTGCTTCAGCCTCCCTAGCCCTGCAAATACAGTGCAGCCCCCAACAATGAATGTTTTGACATGGATGAATGAAGGAATGAATTAACAGAACTTTTGCTAGGAATCAACTACCAATTAATTCAGTGAGCATTCTCACAGTAACTTCCCTCCTCAGCTGCTGAGTTTACTTAGAAACAAAAGCCATACACATCCGTGTGAGTCTGTTCTGTTACTGTGGTATACGTTGCTTTCATTAATCTTTCATAGCAGCAGTGATGGCCTGCCACAGGTGGCTCTCACTTTATAGAGAAAGGCAGGAGCAGCCTTCTGTCCATGCCAGCAAACCATAGAGCTTCCTCGGAATCCTGGAACAACATGAGTTAGAACTAAACACTCCCTCATTCAATTTCTTTCTATTTAATACGTTACCATCCAGGCTTTATTTGATGGAAATGTCTCTGTGTTTCTCAGAGTCAGTGGGTCCGTCAGGCTCATAATTGTGAATCATGAAAAAAAAAAAAAAAGGTACCTTTAAGATACAGAGTTCATGGGTGGGGTGGGTTGCTACCTGGTAATCTCACATGTTCAAGGCCAGCTTGGGCTATGTAGTGATTGGACTACACAAAAAGATCATGTCTCAATAAAAATAACCATAGGTATGTGTGTGTGTGTGTGTGTGTGTGTGTGTGTGTGTGTGTGTGTGTGTGTGTGTGGTCTTGAGAGATGGCACCATGATTAAGAGCACTGGCTGCTCTTCTACAGGACCTAGGTTCAATTCTCAGTACTCACATGGCAGCTCACAATCACCTGACTTCAGTTTCAGGGCTTCTGATGGCCAACCTCTGCCCATCTTAAGCACCTGGCACACACGTGGTTCACAGACTTTGAGTCAGTGCCTAATATACATAAAATATTTCAAAAAATATGACTGAAGGTGTAGCTTAGTTGGTAGAATGCTTGCCCAGCATGCCCTGGGTTGCTCAGGTGGGGTGCCTCAGGCCGGAGATCCCACAATTCAGGAGACAGAGACACCAAAGGTCAAAGTTCAATGTTCTCAGCTACATAGCTGATGGGAACCACCAGACTGGGCCACATGGGACATTTCAAATTAGAATGAAACGATAACAAGAGGGGCCTCCTTGAAAAAGTCCTTCCCAGGGACTCGCAAGTACCTCATTGTCTCTTCTCTTAATGCTCTATGCTGAGGCAGTCTCAAAGTGTCTGTTAAATTGTATTTATTTACAAACAAAACTAGGTAGGTAGGTGGTGGTGATGGTGGTGGTGGTGGTAGGGTTAGTTAGGTCCCTGAAATTCCTTATGAACAGTGAGCAGACACAGTGGAGAGGAGTTCGAAGCCAGCTACCTGGCTGTGAGGGAAACCTGGACCAGCCCTCCACACCTCACTCAATTGCTTAATGAGTGACTGAGACTCATTCACACCCCTCCTCACAAGCACAGTGGCTCAGTATGTTGAGCCTTTTGCCACAGCTTCACCTAGGTCAGAGACTGTCTGGAAGGACAGACCATGGTACCAGTTTAAGGATGGTATCAGCACATGGTGAGGGAAGCTTCTGTGTGCAAATGCCAGGGAAGGGAAATCACTCTCAATGCCTGACTTCAATGGGCTGAAGCTGGCACACTGAGGACGCTGAATTAACAAGCTCTCTCTTTCATAAGGCTACCAGGGTCCCCTTGGTGAGAAAAACCTGCTTGGGTGCTGACAGCTCTCAGGTGGCCTGTTGCCAGAAGGTGTTCTCTTTATTTTGACTCTGGTGCGCTGCCCCAGGGATCAATGTGACTCTAAGATTTGCTTGCCAGCCTCTGGCGTTGTGCTTGCTTCAGGGAATACACCCCCTCCTGCTCAGACACCAATCCCCCGGCTCTAAGCTCTCATCTGGGTCAAAGATAACTTGTGCAAGTCTGATTCGGTAACGTGTGCCGCCCAAACCAGAATCTTTGTGTCCTTTGGAGGTGACAGCTCCCGTGTGTGTGTGTAAGAGCCCGACACACCTCTCCTTCCTTCCTTCCTTCCCCCGACTTGGCAGTGATTCCCTTTGGGTCCCAATAAAAGCCTCAAGATCATGTCCTGTTTTCTGGTTTTGCTTGGCTTTGTAAAAAACAAAACAAAACAAAACAAAACAAAACAACAACAACACAGCCTTAAGGGTGGAATAACTAACATTTTATCTGGCCTGCAGCAGGATGCTCCAAGCAAGGGCGATATTGCTTTATTTTTATTATTCTAATTCTCATCTTCTTTAAATCTGGGTTATTCCTCACAAGGAAGTGTGCGTGAGTGTCCAAGAATGAGATCTACAGACACAACATTTTCCTGCATGCTCCGGGTTCATCTGCCACCCAGTTGGAATTGAATTCTTAAGGTGGCTGTCTCAGAAGCAATCCCTTATCTTCCCTCAACAATTCTGTATTCCTATTCCTGGGGGCCTCCAAGGTCAGTTCAGAACCAAACAGGAGGGCGCTGTGGTTCCAGCCGGCTCTCCCTGCTGTCCCCTCCAGTCCGCACTCCAGTGTCCCCGCCACAGCCTGGTGACAGAGCCACAAGCCCATTGCTCAGGACCCTCGCTGTCCCGGGTCTCCTTACCTAGGCACAGCGCTGCGTTACTCCCGGGTACCCGGGGCCCTGGGCGCACCGATGCCACCAGCGCGAGCCAGATCCAAGTGCTTCTCACAGTCAACACCGCAGGCCTCCAGATAGTCGTGTTCACCCGGGGCTGGGGTATCTCTGAGGTGAGCTGAGCAGACGCTTAAGATCTATCCTTCGGCTCAGGCTCGACACTCCCCTCCCGGGGTTTCTGTGGAGGAGGGACAGGGGAGGAGCGTGTGGCCCGGCCTCCTGCCAGTTCTGAGCAGCTGCAGCTCAGGCTCACACAGTGCTCGCCCAGGGCGGGCTACTATCTGGACCTCCTCAGGAGCCCACGCGTCGATCCTGCTTGCCTGAAGTTGTGATGGGTTCCTAGGTTCTTAGACACTCCAGCCTCACCGGGTCTATTACTCGGTATCTTGCCAGTTTCATCCTGTTCTCCAAATCCACAAAATTCACCGAGTCACTGAGCACAGTTTTGGAATCTGAAATGTTCTTCATAGTCCGCATTTTGATACTTTGTACCCGGAATCCCAGTTCACTCCTTGTGTACACTCTGCCCCAGACTGGAAGGCCTGCTGGAAGGCTTTCTTGCTTTGCTGATTTTGAGGGACATCGTATTTAAGGTTCTGTCTCAGCTCAGTCTAACTCAGTTATTAGCACTTGTGGTAAAGGCATGTCCCCCCAAGTAGAAACATATTCCCCCAGACCTGGAACTTTTTGTTTACCTCCTGAGGCTCCGGGGAGCTTTGCCCCTCTTTAAACAGAAAGTCCGGTGTCTGGGGGAACAGAGACTTGGAAGATTCTTGAGGACCCCTCCACAGCAATGTATTTTAAATAGCAGCAAACGATGGAGGTGTGGGAGGGTGATAGTTGGAGAGTAGAAGAGAGATTTGGCTATTTCGCTAGCAGAGGTAATACAGGTATGCAGAGAGCTACAGGGTTGCAGCTTCAATGGCTCTTCAGCCCTGTCCCCAGCCCCCCCCACACACACACACACTGGCCACCACCCCCACGATCCCCCTGTTGTGTGGCCTTTTCAGTCATGGAGTTGTTCATTCCTGCTCCTTTAAAGTAACCCTCTGCCTATACTCCTGTTAGGAGCCTCAAGAAAAACTCATTGGTTTACTTAGATAGGCATTGGGGAAATTGTTGTATGGATCAGTCTGGGTTCCCTTTCTGGGGTTTATAGACATGTGTTGTATTTCCCCTACAAAGTCTGTCACACAATCTTGTTTTCCCTGAAATGCCATCCTTTAATTTTCAAAGTTTTCTTCTCAAACCTATTTTCCAATAATTTTTAAACATCTTTGTGTTAATATTTTGCTTAGGATCTAACAAATAAAGCTTGCCTGGTGATCATGGAAGCAAAGTGGTTAGCCACTTGAGAATTCTCATCTCTACCAATGCTCAGAACAAAGGGATCCTGTCCTGAGATTGCACCTCCAGACTGCACTGCTCTCCACCAAACCTCAGAACCCCTCAGCTCCTGCCTTCTCCTGTTTTATATTCCTCTCTAGTGCTGGGATTAAAGGCGTGGGATCCCATGTGCTGATACCACCTTTGTATGAGCTCTGTTTCTCTTTTAGACTGGATCAATTTCGTGTAGCTCATTGTGGCCTTGAACTAACAGAGATCTGACTGTTTCTGTCTCCCCAGTGCTGGGATTAAAGGTATGTACCACCACTGCCTGGTCTCTATGGCTAACTTGTTTGACTGCCAGGATTAAAAGTGTGTGCCCAACACTGCCTGGCCTCCACGGCTAGACAGTGTGGCTGCTGGGATTAAAGGTATGCTCCGCCAGTACCTGGCCTCTATGGATAGCTAGAGTGGCTAACTTTGCATTCTGGGCACGGAGAAGCAAGGTAGACAAGAAGTCCCTCCCCTAGCTGAGGAGCTATTGGCAATTGCTAGCTTTTGAGAAATGGAAAGTCAGCTTTCTTTAAGAGTGTTGCCCTCTGGTAGGTGATCAATGGAATGCCACACACCCGTGATTATACAAACAGGACAAATGAATTTGTTGTATGAGGAAAAAAAGATACAAAGTTGGATGGTAGGGAAAGAAGAGTGGATCTGGGAAGAGTTTTTTTTTTAAAAAAAAATGCTAAGAATACATTTTAAAAGTGATAAGTAATAATTTCTCAAAAATCTAATTGAAATAGAAAAAAATAGAAATTTGATATTCTTCCCTAAACCGGATGTGGGGAATTCACCAGAGAAGACTTCTTGGAAATGGGTTTAAGCCAATAGAAAGTCTTTGATAGCTGGCCAGCAACTATACTGGGTGATCCGGGTCCCAGCACAGCATTCAGCCTTTCTCAGTATGAGCTTTTTAACTACAAAAGCCATGTTCTGGGTTGACATACTCCAGTTAACAAGAACAGTTACCCAGAAGACAAAAAGCAAGGTTAGTACGTCCAGAGACTTTCCCAGAACTATAGACTTTGATGGATTAGGCCTTTGTTTTAGTTTTGGAAGGTAGAACTGTACACATGCTGATTTTATGGCCTGAATGGCACTTCCATCATGGAGTCAGTTATGCTAGGGTCTGGGGAACCTACTAAGGTCTTGGACCCTGTTATAAGCCCAATTCCATCAGACAATTATTCGACAATTTGGTACAATATTACAGATATGTTTCAAATATAAATATAGTGATTAAAAGCATAGAGTAGCTTAGTGATGGTGGTGCTTACCTTTAATTCCAAAACTGTGAGTCTGAGACCAACCTGGTCTACTGAGCAAGTTCCAAGACAGTCATGGGTACATAGAGAAAATCTGTCTCAAAAATAGATAGACAGATAGATGGATAGATAGATAGATAGATAGATAGATAGATAGATAGATAGATAGTTTCACAGAGCAAGGAAACCTCAGCTTGAATCCAGCTAACTGAGTCTACCTCCAAGGCCTTGGGAAAGCTTGACAGGCATTGAATCCCCAGTCTCCTAATCTACAAGCTGAAAATAACAGTAGCTCCTGAATGTTTGTATTGAGAATTCAAAGGGATAATTCAGCCATGGGTGAAAATGCACAGTTGTAATTCAAACAGTTGGGGTGTGGATACAGGAGTGTCAAGAGTTCAAGGCCAACTTTGGCTACAAAGTGAAGCCAGTCTGGGAATATGAATGAGAACTTATCTTAGTAAATAAACAAACAAACAAACAAACAAATAAATAGAACAATATAAGTAAATGCTTAGGACAATATTTGGCCAGAAATGTGAGCTCTTGACTGATATTAACAATTTTCACATATGTAAGGCATTCATATTCACGAAACACATAGGGGAGCTAGTTCATTTATAAGTGGATATGAATTTCTAGGAACTGAAAGATACTGATGTTGTCTGTGGGTGAGGAGAATATTCACAGAGGCAGAGTGACAGGAGTAGCTAAATAGAATGTCAAGTCAGAGAATGGAGCCCGAGGGTCAGAAGTTCAAAGGTCAAGCAATGTCAGGGGACAAGAAGTCAAGAACAGTAATTCTTCTGAGTTTCTAGAACAGATACAGTGAAGAATCTCCTGTTCGAAATTTTAGCCAGGTCTAAGGTTGGTTATCCAATACCAGGCTTGACTTTTGAATCTTACTGGCAATGACTTAATACCTTTTATGGATTTCATTGTCTCCATTCACTTAGGAGCTCCAGAACTGGTATTGTCAAAACTATGTTATGATTTCAGTGTATGTGTGAGGGGATGCATAGACCACCTAACTGTTCTCGGGGGTATACCCATGAGAACACCCCTGCTGATTCAATACAGATGTAGGAAGCAGCTTGTCAAGTCCAAGGCATTGCCATTGTGACTGAGGCACGTAGCTCCTTCACCTAGTTGTGAGTCATTTGATTATCTACTTGAGTCATTTGATTGTCTAGTTTTGAGTTATTTGATTCTATATGCAGAATATCATTCATTCATTTACTCCACTGTGCTTATTCAGTGCTCAAGAGCTACACCCTGGATGTTCACAAAACACGTGTTGGTATGAATTATACATGCTTATGGGAAAATGGTATTTATTACTAATTCAATGTAGAGTAAGCTTTTTTCTCCTTACTCTACAAATGTAAATGAATATTGTCAGCATTGAAGTTGTTTATAATGTGCTGTTCTCATTTAACAATACAACACTAATGTCCTTCCAAACCAATGTAAACACAGCTACAGTATCAGTTTTAGAGGTTATAGATTTTCCCTTGTTAGTGAAAACTTGGGGTAAGTTTGAAAATGGCACTTCAGTGAACATCCTTGTGGATAAACCTTTGTGCACATTTATAATTCTTTCTTCATAGTGAATACCTAGGAAACGACTTCATGGGGGCAGAATATGTGCATTCTGTTCTTCTGTTTCTCCCTCTTCCATGGTTGTCACAATTCAAGCCAGAACATATCGTATGTTATTATGGAAAAGTTACTTCTCCAAAATCTGTACTGATTTGACTTCCTCATTCTGAAACTGTCAGTGTTTCCCATTACACGGTGAGAAATACCGTCGAGTCACGCTGATGCGGCATTCATGTCCATGGCAGCATCTGGTCTCCCTCACCTCCTGGAAGTCTCCCATATTCAGCTCAGTTTACACCCAGCCACTCTGGGCTTGGTGCCATAGCATCGCTTTTGCTGGTAGGACTTATCTATTTTATTGTTGTTCAGGTCATGATGGGAAGCCAAGGGGATTATTTGATGAGTACTTAGTAAAGGGACTGTTGATAGATGTAGAAGGGAACACAAGCAACATTGCTTTTGACACAGCAGCACTGAGAGCCCTGACCAGCCATGCACTAGAAGGAACAAGTGCAGAAAGCAATGGCTGGGACTTATCCAGGGTTGCTCTATGTAGAAAAGCACCCCACAGGGCTGAGGCCTTCACAGACAGGCTGCCAGGCCTCCCAAGGGAGTCAGTTTCCTAAGCCCATTCTTCATATCCCTCCCAACACAGGTGGAAGTCGTTGACATGAGAGTCCATGGATCGTATCCAAATAGGTGCAGCCTCTATGGAGGCAGGGTGATGGGGGGTTGATCTAATGAGACAAATAGATTTCCAGCTTACTCCAAAATGCTGAGTCTCAAAGCACTTTGTGCTATTCTTAGGCCATGTAACAGGGTCAGAACATTGCACACTTGACTTGTGCAATATTTCACTTCCTCAAATATACTAACACCTCCACAAAGGGAGATATGACTTTTTTTACATGCATTATGAGAGGCTCAAAAATGTCTGCT